GATTTTATATACTTGGGTTTTGTGAAACTGTCATGTAGAAAAGATGTTCCATACTAGTGTCAGTAATATAATATCAAAGAGATGAGATTTTGACAATTTTGTAAACCCAGTTACATGAATTAGTTAGCAAGAAAAATCAATTGATTAAGGACATTAATCATGTTAGGCAGTTTTTGCGTCTCTTAAGCACAGCCATCTTAGTGACTCTCAATTGCTCCCTCTCATTCAAGATCTCCATGTTGTACAGTTGTGCCAGCCTTCCCCTTGCAATTTCTCTCCTATGTCTCTCACACTCTTGCCTTTTTGATATGTCTATCTTTGATATTTTTTGCTAGTACTCCTCTCCTACATTTCCCTCTCTTTCTTACACACAAACCTCCATGATCTCTCTCATCGAAATCCGACGATGCCTCATCCCCAACATCTCTCTCACGTTGAAATCCCTACTTTGATGCCCTTGCCTCTTACTTCGAATGCCATACTCGCTCGCTCTTATTAGGCTTTAGTGTAAGTTGGATTTCACACATTAAGTTGATGCATGGGGGATTGATTTGGGTTTAAAGTGAGATGTCGAAAATCTTTTCAATTTAAATTGCTTTTAATTAATATAGAATATTGAAATTGAATTAACGATAATGAAAATAAAATAGCATATCAATTAATTAATGATATTAACAATGTATTGTATTTATTTAGATACACAATTCTGTGTATACAAGTGTTAGATAGAAATTATATGATATATTTTATGTTAAAGTGTAAGCAATTTAATGTATGCACAATATCTATATTATATTGCTCTAGTTAAGGGTGGAAAGTCTGTAGGACCTGATGATATCCCAACTGAAGTGTGGAAATATATAGGACATTTGGGAGATTCTTGGCTTACTAGACTCTTTAATATTATTTTAAAAACTAAAAGGATGTTTGAGAAGTAAAGGAAGTGTATTTTGATCCCATTTTTAAGAATAAAGGGTATGCACAGGAGTTTGCAAATTATAGAGGAATTAAGTTAATATGTCATACTTTAAAATTATGGAAGAGGGTAATTGAATATAAGTTATGATGTATTACAAAGATTTCTCATAATCATTTCGGATTTATGTCGGGCAGGTCTACTATGGAAGCTATGCATCTATTGAGAGGTTTGATGGAGAAGTTCAGAGAGAATAAGCAGGATCTACATATGATTTTTATTGATTTAAAAAAACCTTACGATAAGGTTCCAAGAGATATCTTTTTGAGATTTATTGAGAAGAAAGGTGTTGATTTGATTTATATTCAAGTCATTAAAGATTTGTATACTAGAGCTATTACTTGTGTTATTACTTGTGTTTAGAGCTATTACTTGTGTTTGAACAGGAGGAAGATTGACCAATATTTTCCTATTTCAGTTGGATTACATCAGGATTAGCTTTAAGCCCATATCTTTTTGCTTTAGTTATGGATGCTCTTACTGGACATGTATGCTTTTCTTTGATGATATTTCTCTCTTAGATAAGATTAGAGAGAAAGCTCGGGAAAAACTTTGATTATGGAGGCCTACATTGGAGCTTAAAGGCATTCGTTTGAGTAGAACTATTGAATACATGAAATAAAATTTTAGTAGTAGTAGCTCTAGTGACGAAGTTGTAACTATAATGATCAAATTATTAAAAGGTGTGAATGCTTTATATATCTCGGGTCTATTGTTCAAAGTAATGGTGATATAGATGTGGATGTTATTAGAACAATTCAAGTTCATTGGTTGAAGTGGAGGAATGCTTCGGGCCTATTGTGTGATAAAAGAGTACCTCTTAGACTGAAAGGAAAATTTAATAAGATGGTGGTGAGACCTGCAATGCTCTATGGCGATGAATGTTGGCCTTTAAAAGAGAAGCATAAAACTAAGTTAAGTGTTGCCGAGATGAGAATGATTAGGTGGATGAGCGGCTTTACACATAGAGACAAAATGAGAAATGAATATATCCGTGGGTTGGTGTAGCTCCAGTGGCGGATAAATTTAGAGAGAGTCGGTTAATATGGTTTGGTCACATTAAACGTTAACCATGTAATGGTCCGATTAGGAGATTAAATGTTTTAGATTCAACTTGTATTAAGAAAGGCAGAGGTATACCTAGAAAGACTTGGGCATATTGTATTAAAATGATCTTAATTTATTAGAATTAAATGAAAATATGACACTCAATAGGACACAATGGAGAAAAATGATTCATGTAGCCGACCCCACTTAGTGGGATAAAGGTTTGTTGTTGTTGTTGTTGTATTGCTTGAGTTAACTATGCAAGCCATTCCCTTGAATTGATTTTACACAACTAGCAGCACACATATGTAATATTGATGAGAGAAATGCTTATAAGATCAATTATATGAGTTTGTTATCTGAAACAGATAGATAAAGTTATTTCTTTTAACTACAAAAATGCGAGTATCCAAAATCAAATATGTGATGATATAAAAATAATTATGCATAAGAAAGATTAGTGTAATAGTTAAGCACAATTACTATATTTACTTGACAACTTGTCATAAGGATCTTTAACCAATTAGGTCACCATGTAAGTATGAAAGCCATGTAAGTATGAAAGTATATAAATGAGAGGCAAAATAAATGTGGTAAGAGTGCAAACTAACCTATAGAGCAATTGGGTAGGGTTGATATTTATGTGGTTTGGTTACCCTTGACTAATGTCCATACCAAGCTCAACTCAAGGTTAGGATCTCTCTAAAGCTTACTAGTACAAGCTAATCTCCTTCTTTCTATAAGCAGGTGGAGAAAACTTTTTAGACTTAACTTTCTCTTTAACGAGTAATGCTGACGCTATTTCAAAGCAAAAAGCAAGCTGCTTCTAGTCTTCTGCAGTAGGTTCCATCATTCTCTTTCAAGGCAAGTAACTTACCACTCTTAGCACAACCTGCTAGGTAATGAAAATTATTTTTAAATCCAAATTAAATTGCACTTATGCCTTGGGGGTGAATTAATGGCTGTCATTTAAAATTATAATTTATGCAGTGCCTTACAAAGTTTAATTGCAAGATGAACACATCTAGAGAACAATGACTATCATCTACAACCATGGTTCATACATTCCCTTACAAACCTTGATTGTAAGATGAACACATCTAGAGAACAATCAAAATAATATGAAAACTAAGAGAGAAAAAGCAGCTGTTCTCAAAATATAAGCTCACTTTTTTTTTATATAATTTTTCATTTGCTTCTTTTCTCATGAATTTCTTAGGTATATATCATAATTAATAAGCTTAAAAATATGTTTATCCAGCATATCGATGTTTGGGTTGCCTTAATTAAGCATTACTTGTTATTGTACTTAAAAATCATTATAATCAATAAATTTGAAGATTTCATTGCTCAACTTCTTGTGACACAATTTATGAATGTCAATATTTTTATTTGAAACATTTACCACTATTATTTTAACGGCCAATTTAACTCAGTAAATATTGTGCGATTGTTAATTGTACTAGTTGATGAACCATACAATTGTTGGGATGATCAACTATACAATTTATCAAAACTTACAATCCGTGGAAATATATTTTTATAAATTTCAATAAATAGCTTAATTATATATAATCAACTAATTTTTATCATGTTATATTAAATAAATAATATTAGAAGATAAGGTTTATATATTTATAAATAAAAATATTTGAACTTATTTTAAATTATGTTCATCGCATTTTGGCATGTTTTGTAAACATGATCTTAAAATTTTTATCATGAGACTTGGTCCTTGAGCACATGACTTGAAACATTGCACTTATAGTTTCAGACTATTTTGGTCCTTTTGTCTTGAACAAATCATGACTTGCATTTTTTGTTGGGTCATGCTTTTGTGAGTAGCGCAAGTCTAGATTTGCTTGAAGTGGTAGCTATGCAACTCCTGTATTTCCAATTTTGGTGATAATTGAGATCTAAAACTGATTGACACCGAAGAATTTTGGAATTGTTGATTTTTGGATCCTGAGACTGCAACTTTGGATTTTTGTGTTGTATTATTTTTTCAGGAATTTGTGAGGCTGCTAATTTGGCATCTTTTTTGCGATTATAAATAGGGATATTGAGGCATCTAAAATATTAGATCAATTCTTTAATAAATTTCATATTTCCTTTCAAATTTGTGTCTGCTTTGGATGTGAATCCTTCAGGGCAATATGACACCCTTAAATTTAGAGTAGCTGAACTTCTAAACATTGTTGCTTCATTTGGTTAATGGTTGGGAGTTTTATCAATAATGATTTCATGGTCAAGCATTTTCTTGATAGAGCACACATGAGATGGCTGGTCTGCTGGGAAAACGCAGACGAAAAAAGTTGTGAGGTTCATCTTACTATGAGATGGGCTTGGCCAAAGTGTATACACTCACATAATATGGTTTGGATCGTTATAATTAATATTTTTAGAAGAATACACTGGTCAGAAAGTGAACCGAGTGGTATAATAAACCATAGCTATTTTGTGGGAGTCCGCTCTTGAACTCATGTTGGTGTAATGTCTCTAATATTGAGCCCATCTCTTGATTGATGTAGGCATTTGATCTTAGTTTTTGGCGAAATTTCTATTTGTAAACATTTTTTGTAACGAATTAACTTGTTTTTCCTTGCATCAAGAAGATAACTCATATCCTAAATTAAAGTTGGTGGATTGCAAATCTGACTTTACTTGCTTATGTTTTTATTAGTAATTATAGATCTTATGATGTATTGGATCATACATACATGTGCGCCCCCATGCACACACATAAGAATGCTTTGATTCAACCCCTGAAGGCCACCTCTTCCCTTCTTAAAAAGGCTGTACTCTTGAAACTTGCAAGTAACCAATTTTGTGTACTATTTGTTATGATGTTCTTCATATCTTGACATTATTCTCTTTTCGCGGTTGATTTTCAATTGTAGACTAGTGCTGCAGATTTTTTAGCTTTTTTTTTTGGGAGCCATTTTGTTCACAGGTACTGAAGGATGCAGTTTTGCAGTTTTAATCGAGGGGCACATCGTCCAATTATGAATCTTCATGAGAGAAGTTTGAGTGTTTTGGCATGTCGGTATGTGGATGAGGTGATTATTGGAGCACCAAGGGAGATCTCAAAGGACATGGTTAGCTTCATTTTGCAGCATATTTTTTGCTTGTTTAATGACTTGCATTTAATTTTTTTTTTGCAAATAATTGTAAAATGATATTCTGAACTTTTTTTTTCCTTAATGAGACTATAGGATTAAAGCTTTGCTATTCAATGCCAAAAGCAAAATTCATCTTACACTACTTTATTATAATGCTATCTATTACTCAATGAAGAAAGACTTATTTGACTGCTTGGCCTTGGAATATTTGATTTACAAGTCTTTGCATGAGATTGAGGTGCACACTGGGAGTTACTCTATAAGTGATATAAAACGTCTTTAGTGGTGCTGCATAAGTTTTGATTCCTTTAAGATGAAGATATAATTTTTGGTTAATGATTTGATATGGCCATATTGCTCATTTGTATTGTTTGTATGTTAACAATTTCTTTTATTACTTTTTTCACAATGGCATATGCTTTATTATAGGATTTTGTTAAGATTTCTTCCCTTCATACCAGTGATATGTATTTGGATGTATGGTGCTTCTCTCCATTATACGAATGCTAGAAAGCCAACTGACTAGTTGATCGAATGTTTGGAGATGGTAAACTATCTATTAGAAAATGGAAATCTTCTTTACCATTTCCCAGCAACTCTCTTCTGTAGAATGAATTGATGGTGATTAGGTGTTGGTTCTCTTCATTGAATGCTGTTTTTTTTTTTAATTTAATAACTTATGCTGTAACATTTCAGTGAGAAAATATTACTGATTTTTTTTTGTCATTCTAATGCAGATTTTTTTCATCTTTGTTTTTCCCGTCTTATCTGCGTTCTTCACTTACTCTTTCTTTTAGTATCACTTGGGGTGTCAAATTTATAGCCATGTTTCTAATTTAAAGTGCTCAATTTACACATTTGCAGATTACAACCTTCAATATCTCGTTGGTTGTTCATGGAACAATTGCTGAAAACATGGATTATATTAAGGTAAATTTAATTTATTTTTTTTTATGCTATACTTTAATGTTAAGATATGATCTAGATTTGCTGGACTTGATAGCAGGAGAGATCAAATCCTTATTCTATTCCGATGGATATGGGCATCTTCAAAATAATAGAAAGTCCTTTAGACATCACAACTAGCACAATCATCAAGAGAATTGTTGCAAATCATGAAGCTTTTCAGGTTATTTTGCTAATCTCTACTGAGTAATCCTGTTTTTTTTTTCTTAGATATGTAAATATGTAGGATTTGAGTATTATGTATGTAAATCTTCCCTTTTTGATATATTTTTTCATTAGTTTTTAAATTATTATTTTTTAATTAGTATTGGCTTCACGTTAATTTTTTTAATGTGAATAATATGGAAGAATTATTTAATGTTAAATTAATTTTTACTCATACTTTCTTTAAAATAAATTAGACTTCTAATTAGAATTTATTGTGTTTTTAAGGAATCAATGTCAAGCTTTGGTTGAGCATCTTACCGAGCTTGTTCAGGAGCTTTAAACAATCTTGTTTATGATCATAAACAAGTTAAGCAACAATATATTCAAGCCTGTTTATTTAATAATCAAATATTCTAAAAAAGAATTCAAGCTTGTTTGATTACTTAATTAAATGAACATAAACGAGCTTTAATTAAGCCGAGCCATTAGTAGCTTCTCGAATGCTCTGTTCATTTGCAGCCCTATCTTTCATTGCTGCCTATTGGCGACCACCGCGAGATGTGAAATGCTGCCGCTGATCAATCTCATTGCCTCCCCCATTGTTGACTGCCGCCACCACCACGTGAATAAATGAAAACTTTTTTAAGATTCTGAACATGTTTTTTTTTTTCAATATAGCTTAATGACTAGCATTTTTCGTTGAATCTGACGGCATTTCCTTCTTTTTTTTTTTCAGAAACGAAATGAGAGGAAGGAAGACAGTGAGAGGAGGTACTACGAGAATAAGACACATATATCTGGAGACTAACTCCGATGAAATTAACCTTCAATAGCTTGGTATTTACAAATACAACAGTTTCTTGAGTTCATATCATTTAAAAAAAAATATTTGTATGGCTTTCATTTCAGTCCATGGTACCATGGGTTGATCCCAGTTTTGTATTATTTATAATTCTCCTCCTAGCTGTCTGCTAACTAGCAATTCGATTCCATTAGGGAAAACTTATATTATTAGCCAGCAGATACATCTGTGATTACTTTTCACCCTTTATTATATGATTGAATATATCATTTGCTTACCCTCTTTTCCTGCTTCCCAAAGTTTATAAAAGCTTCAATTTAGTTCATATATTCTTTTAATGGGAGATAAAATAGTCCTTCTTGGGCTCTATTTTAGCCCATATTAAAATAATTTAGGGACTAATTCGACACTTCTGTATACTTTGTGATTAAAATGACTCCTTGTGTTCTGACTTATGCTATGATTAGTTCTCCTTCATGTCTTTGTGAGTAAAATGATTCCTTGTGTTCTGACTTACAATATGATTAGTTCTCCCTCCTGTCTTTGCAAAACTTTTTGGGGGTATTTACACATAGCGGCCTGTTACTATGTTTTTACATTTCTAACACCTAAACTTTAATATTTACATTTATACCTTCAAATCTCTCTTATCACATAAGAACTACCAACATTTTATTTTTTAGAAGGTAAATTATACCTCATGATTAGGTGGCATGTATGAAAAAATTGCAGTTTATAAGAGGCGTATATATGCATAAGACAATGAGTGGTATTCATGTAAATCATCCACATTTTTTTGTGACATCTGATTTTATTGATTTTGAGGGATAATAATATGGTGATTATAGGATTGAAGACAATTCAGTCAGTTCATATGCCAATAAGTTTTGCAGGTGTACGTTTATAGACCAATTTAACGCATTTATCTGTAAAACAATTCTTAGGGGGGCATTAACAAACATGCCACCTAATTATTAATGATTTATTTATTTAACTAACACTTTTGTTTTAACATTTTTTTCAATCAAATTTTTTATATCACATTAAAAATATTATTATTTTAATTTTTGAAAGGTGAAATTTGTCGTTTTATGCATAGATAAAATAATGTAAATGTTTATATGCAAACATTGAAGTTTAAATTCTTGATATGTGAATTCATAATTGGTATCGATGGTATTATTTTGGGTATAATGAAATTGATAAAATGTGGACAACCATTAGCTCTGAGCCTGTTTGAGTCCATAAATAGTTTATGCAAATTGCAAACATGTGTGTGAAATTGGGTGTCAAGGAACCCAGGGGTTGTTTCATATAGACTGTAGCATCTAGTTTCCCATGAAAAAAATGCATTAGAAACGTTGAGTTGCTCGATGGGCCAATGTTTAGTAGTAGCAATAGTGATAAGCATTCAAATGGTGGGAAATTTGGCGACAGGATTGAACGTCTCAGTGTAGTGAATACCATTCTATTAAGAGCAGCCCTATGCAACAAGATGGGTTTTATGTCAAAAAATAGAGCCATCTATGTGGTATTTGATTTTAACATCCAGCTACAACTAAGAAAGTGTTGTTTGGGAAGAGGAATTAGGGATCATGTGCTTTGCTTTTGTAGGGCAAGAAACTCTTCTGACTTTGCTTGATGTCAAGAAGGTTGCGTCATTGCTTAGGAGAAGGTGGTGGGAGTGTCACTGAGGTTCGAGTGTTGAAGATTGAGAAATTGAGTGGATTTTAGGGAGTTAATTTTTTACCTGGTGGTCATAGGTGAATGTTAGATTGGGCTCAGGTGATAGGAGGGTATTTATGGGGTGAGGATTGAAAAGAGGGAGGTTTGGGGTCAATAAAAGGAGTGGGAAGGGGTTTTGTTGTAGAAGATGAGAGAAGTGGGGGTGAAGCGGATGAAGTAGTGGATGAAGAGGGTTATATCGTGGATGCAGGAAGTGTAAAGGAGGGAAAAATTCACTGAGGTGCGTTAGTGATGGATTTCAGAGAGATGAGTTTGAAAGGAAAACTAATTTTCAATGAACTTAACATGCCTTGAGATAATAAGCTTGTTAGTTTAAATGTCATAAGACTTGTAGCCTTTTATGGTTGGAGCTATACTCGAGAAAGATGCAAGTAGGAGCTTTGGGGTTAAATTTCTTTTGAGCTAGAGGTAGTTGCTAAGAAAAACATGTGCATACAAAAGTTTTAAGGCTTGTGTAATCAGGTTTGATGTTGTGTAATAGTTGAAAAGGGGATTTATAGTGAGCGATAGGAGTGGGAAGTTTATTGATTAAGTAGTAGGCTATGAGAATAGCGTATGTTTAGAATTGTGTAGGCAAATGTGTTGTATTAATAAGGGAAGGGTACGAGTCGTTTCAACATGATGACAATTCTTGTATTCAACTAATCTGTTTTGGTTTGTGCAGGCAACTAAATTGGTTGCTAATGCCATGGTGTTGTAAGTAATTGAGAAGCTAAGAGGAGCGGTATTCATCGCCATTGTCAGAGCAAATGTATTTTATATTTATGTTATTGTGATTTTTTATGTATTTATGTAAATTAATAAAGTGGCATATAACCTCATATTTGTGTTGCATGGGAAAACGCCAACAAAATCCTGAATAAGCATCTATAAAAGTTACATAATATGCATAACCATTCACAGAGGAGGGAGAGAAGGGGCCCTATACATCTAAGTGTAAAAATTCAAGTAAAGAATATGACTTATTGTTGAAATTGAAAACAAGTTTATGACTTTTATTTTTAAGGCAATCATATCATGTTAGATTGATTGTAGAGATGTGAAGCTGTGGATTTCACTTTGAGATGAAACTGAGGATCTCTGATGAGGATGCTCGAGCCTCTGATGTCAGATGTTGATGGGGGTAGTGGTATGCTGGAAAAAATTGGTGTGATACAGGCCTTGGTTGGCAAGCTAGTTAAGATTCTTTCATTATTATTATTATTATTATTATTATTATTATTATTATTATTATTATTATTATTATTATTGTTGTTGTTGTTATTTTGATATACTGAATATGAAATTGATTAGGAGCAAATACTACTTGACATGAATTATCTTTTGTAAGTTTGTTGATAGGAACTAAATTGATAAATATGTGGGGTGTATAAGAGTGGGGAAGGGAGAGCTTACTGTCCGGGTAGGTAAAATAGCTATACCAATTTGAGGAACGTTGGTAACTTGACTATTGCCCACAACCACTTTATCTATTCCATGATATGGGGTGGAGGATTGAACATTGTCAATATGAGGTGTCATATGAGTAAGAACACCAGTATCGAGAATCTATTCTTCTGGGGAAATGGAAATGTTTGTGTTTAGAGCTTGAGAGTTCTTTGAGATTGTTGGTTTGTATTGTAGTTTGGCCCTATGCCAACAGATGATTGCGGTGTGTCATCATTTTAAGCATATTTGACATAATACCAATAGTTTATGAGATAGGGCCTAACCAGCAAAACAAGAGAAGTTTCCTTATTTATTTTCACTTCACGTGTTACACAAACACTGAACTATAAATAAACCCCACTGGGGTAAATTTGTAAATATAAGAGTGAAATGATTTATTAAATACAGGACACCAATATCCCTAAATAATTATCAGTGATGGAATAGAAGATGAGCCAAAGCATTCCAGAGCTTTGTCTCCACTAGTCCTTAGCATGCATGAGCTCCATCTTCAACGATCCAGGTATGCATGCTATTAATGGATTATTCAAAAGAAAATGATGATAATGAAGACCATAAAGCGAATGATGTTAAGATAAGAAATGATTAGTGTTGAAATTAATCCTCCTAAAAAATGCAAGTTAACTGTCACTTATGATCTTGGAATTAATTAAGCTGGTCTTTTTTTTTTTCAAATTATAAGGATATTATCTCTCCAAACCATCCTTAATTGATTAGTTCATCAACATTTTAGTTGGAATATTGTATATGAATAACTGGTGGCCATGGGCCAACAAAGTTATAAGCGGGCTTTTCTAGCCTTATTCGTGGCTAATGGGTCTATAAGAAATCGCATGATCATTAGTTGTGATCCACAAGTCCTTCTACCTTATAGGCCTGTAATGACCGTATGGCAAACTAGCTTGTTGATTTGACTCATCAAATGGACTTGTCAAATTGACCCACCAAAGTTATCAATCTGTACAGCTTCAACTGTTGAAATATCATTTGTCATCTTTCCAAGAGTTGAGATGCACTCATCCAACCAAAAATTTTGTTCGCTCAACTGATGATCTTCAGGATTGACAAAACGATCGAAAGTCGAGATCAACATCAAAGGGTTGGTGAACGCCCATGATTATTTATAAATTGTTTAACATCCACTTTATCGTCTTTTCATTAAGAGAACATGGAAACCTATGTATTATATGTTTCATGATTAGATATCCACTCTTCTATGTAAAAACAGATCATCTTTATGATGTATAAATAGATGCATTCTCCCATCTTTGTTCTCTCTCTCTCTCTCTCTCTCTCTGGCTTTCCACCTCTCATTCCTCTTTAGAGCTCTCACTCGCTCTTATTGGGAAGAAGTATTAGCTAATGGAAAAGATGGTTCAAGCCTAGAAGAAATATTTGTTCTCTTCTTTTATCCTCATTACGTAGGTCTCTTCTGGGTTGTATAAACCCACAGACGATGCTAGACCCTACGTTCTAAAAGGATTCAACAAATATTTATTCATATCTTTTAATATAAATATCAGCATGTATTTTTGTTGATGGTGAATGGAATTCATTTCATTTATGCCTCGAAAACCTCATTCCACATTCCTACTCAACCCTCTTCTTTCTCAAGTGGTTGAAATTCTTCTCACCCACTCTAGATTTTGTCTCCTAACTTAAGTTTAATGGATAATGTACATTTTCTTCTTGCATTACTAAATAAAGAAAAATTATTTGAAGAGATGAAGAGTAGGTACAAAGAACCAAAGAAAAAGATGTGAAAAAGAATGCATATGATCATGGAGAAGAAATAAATTTTGATAAAGATATAAACATCATCTAAGGAAATTTTTCTATTTTGCTAATTTGGATTGTCCCATCTTTTAAGGAAAATTTTCTCTTTTGATCATTTTTTTTCTTAAATTATTACATCTTAATCATCATTCGTTAGCTTAAATAACAAAAAGTTGAATTAAATTTAATTCTCTTACAGGTAGGCCCACACCTAGAAATAGCTCAAGATGAGTGATAGGCCCCCTAGAAATTTAAAATCTTTTTTTTCGATAGTTATAAAATAAACAAGCAATTAAAAAAAAATGA